TCTCTCTCTCTCTCTCTCTCTCTCTCTCTCTATATATATATATAGAGAGAGAGAGAGAGAGAGAAAGAGAGAGAGAGAGAGAGAGAGAGAGAGACTGTCCTTAAATTTGTTTTTAAAACTTCTTTCACTAAGGATTGAAGGAAACTCAGTTGGTGCTGTAAAACTTGTCAATCCAAAGGTTCCTAATAGCTAAAAAGCAGTTAACAAGCTATTTCTGAAAGTGATTAGAAAAGGAAGTATGCAAACCCAGTGTCCTTAAAGGTGCCAACTGTGGTTTCAGCAAGATGGCTATTCCCTCATCTCTCAGAGCTCTAAACCCACCAGAAACTGCTGTCTTGCAGTCTCCTCATGAGGAACAACTGTCTGGAGAACTTGTGGGCGATCTCATGTCCTCTCCTTGTCCAGAGAGGAATTATCAAACAGTGGATCTACTTCCCAGCTGTTCATTCCACTGCAGTCATCAGCTCCCCTTCAGTTTGCCATTTCTTCCCTGGAAGTCCCAACTTCAAAGCAATTCTTGATGTATGCTTTGAAAATGGTGGACATGTGCATAGGATCATATTATGGAAACTGGTTGGCTTTGTTCTGCTCTACTTGACTTGTAACTTGCACATGACCAGTTTATAATATCTTTGCTGTTGTAACTGGACTCTTAAACCTCTTATACCAATGATATAGTCAATTTGATTTCTGTTCATTATGATTTCTGTATGCTCCATCAAATGATAGCCATGCATATAGGTGGTGTTTTGGTTGTATAAAGAATGTGTTAACAATGAAGAAATCTTTAGATGGCAAAAACTGGTAAGTCATTCTACTGCTTCATTTCTGTTTCCTAGGACATAGTGCAACTATGTTTTCTTCCTTTCTCTTTCCAACTATGTCATTCTTGCTAGTATGTTCTATCAATTTCAGATTGAACTTGACCATAAAACCAAATCTGTTTGGCTATTCAGAACATTTTTGAAACACAGAAATAGACAGTCCATCCAGCTTCTGATCCAATTGCATTGTTTTAAGTCCAGACAAAAATTCTTAAGCATTATTCAGATACTTGCATAAGAAGCATACTTTTATGTAGTTTGTGGTTGAAGAACTGCTATAAAAATGTAAAAGATGCAACAACTGGCAGATAATCTTTTTACATGATTTTCTATTAAGGTAATACAAATTAATATTGTTATTTTTAAGAAATCTTACTCCCTAACTGCTTTGATAGGAGAAACTGGGGTGTATGGTGCTTTTGTGGAAGGAATTAAAATAAAGAGAATAAGAGTAAGATTTGGATCATTCTCTAATCCAGGAGTTGGCAACTGGGCTTTCTTGAGCTGTTTTGAACTGCAGTCCCTGTACTCCCTTTACACTGGCCATAGTGATAAAGCTTAATGGATGCTGAAATTCAACTCTATGGAAGGAACCAAGCTGCTTGCTCTGCTCTGAAACATCTATCTCATCATGTACTTGAAATTGAATGTGGCTTTATCTAACTGAAAAAAGTAATTATTATAGCCAGCATTTGTATATCATTCCACATTCCTATTTGCATTACATTGGTTAGTATAATTATTCCCATGCTAAAATGGGAGAACAGCAAAAAAAAAAAAAAAAATGCACATAACCTATCTATTTTAAGGTCAGAAATCTGGCAGAACAGCCAGCCCACCCTGAGTACAGATCTGGTGCATAGGACTTAATAGGTAGACTTGCTTCCGACCTCCACAAATTCTACAAAGAAAATTTTGCTGAGCTCAGCGGGAAATATTCTAGGAGCCTGGTTGGTTTTTCATACTGGTCTGGTTGAAGCCACACTTCTGTCCATAATTATGAGAGCAGATTTCTGGTAACTGTGTTAAGGTAAGGGGTTTCCTTTTGCTTCCCACACTGAATTTCAATATACCTGAGCACCAAAGGAAGGCACAACAAGGCCAAAAAGTGTGACATCAGTTCCAGATTGGAGAATGAGGTCCCTCTGCACTTCTGATTGCAGCTGACTGCAAGTATAAACCCTGAGAATGGTCATCCAGACAAATGCTGTGTTGCAAGAAAGAGCTGTTTGAAAACAACTGGCTAATGCATGACAAAAGCCTTCTTGAGTAGCTTTGCTGGTTTATTTATTGCTAAAGTCTAGTTGTTTTTGGTTAGGGTCTACAGGCTAAAGCACTGAAGCTGATTGAAGATGGAACAAAATATGTGCCTGAACCTTTGAATATTGCTTGGAATCTGTCCTATGTATTATCTCAAAGGAACCTTTGGGAGTAAGCTCTTGCTTCTGAGTAAGCCAGCAATTGCAATCCTATCTTAATAGCATCAACAGTTCCTAGAATAAAAGCTTTTGGTTGAGCTCACTCAAATCCTGGAACAATTTGTGATATCCTAACTTTGAATGCATTGTGTCTTCTAGGCATCCCTAGCTTTTGGGACTCCAGTTGTTAATGCAAAACTCAAGATATACAGGAAGAACTCCTTGGAGTGGGGCTGGAGGGACTGTGGGGAAAAAGGCATGCTCCAGAATGTCTACATTATCTTTCTACTGCTTCATTTTTGTTTCCTAGGACATAGTCCAACTATGTTTTCTTCCTTTCTCTTTCCAACTTTGTCATTGGAACAATGTGTGGCAGGTGTGCTCCAGAATGCCTACATTATCACCCATATGATGCCAAATACTAATGTCAGATAGAAATGGTGTCCCATTTTATGTCCATCCTCAGTCACAGAAGTTCACCAGGTGACTAGATGATTTTGGGCTTCTCATTTTCTTTGTCACCCCGATCCATCCCATAGGATGGTTGTTGCAGGAGAAAATGGGAGGAAAGAATCCTTTTGATCTCTGGGAGAAAGGTGGGATACACAAGCAGATGTGTAATGTTGTTCCATATTCTTAGTTGTGATGTGTTTCATTCTCTCTTTAATGGTTCTCACCATCCTGGCTTCCCACTCATCATAATACAGTATGATATAGAAGACTTGGAGGGAAAATCTATTCTCAAGTCTGCCTTCAGACATGGAAACTCACTGGATGATTTTGGACCAATCACTTTCAGCCTAACCTACCTCACAGGGTTGCTACTACAGAGAAGATTTAGAAAAGGGAGTGCTACGTATGCTGCCTTAAGCCCCTAGATGAAAGTTGGGATATAATTCTAACACGTATATTAATTCAATTTAAAAAGGCATATGGGTTCCTCATCTAGGATCTTTTCAATAGCTTGCTGAAGGAATTATTGGTGAATGTCTCCTTTCCCTAGAGAAAACTGGAGAAATCATCTACCCAATTTTCATTCCCCATACATTTGGTGAAGTTGGAGAGGCTATGGGCCAAGGATTAGCAGCTGTGGTCTCTAAAAATCAAAGCTTCATATCAGCAGAGAACCAGAGTGTTATCATAAGATTTTGATAGGTTGGACATTTAATGGGCCAGGACACCAATCAACCAAGCTCAGAGTCCCCCAGAGGGAATTTCTATATTTTTGACTTAGCAGTGCTTCCAAATCATCCTACTGTGTTCAAAAATGGATCCAGTTCTACTTAATGACTAATTTATGAAAAGTTTATGGACAAGTCCTTTCTGTCTTTCTTTCTCTCCCGAATCTCAACATCATCAATTATATTTGATTGTTAAATGTTCTGTGCTATGTCTAGTTATATACATCCATATTATACTGAATGTCCTGGGAATACCAGCATTCTCATGAATATTAGCTTGATCCTTGGTTTCTAAACTTGAAAAGTAGAAATGCCCTTCTGTATATTTAGAAAATTCATCTACTCTTCACATGAGAACTGTTTTCAGCTACTCTGAGGTGATTCATTATATCAAATTTTGTAAATTTGTGTCCAGTTGAGCTAAAGTTAAACAAAAACAGTGAAGCACTTGGAGGACTCAAGGTAATATCTGGACCCACCATGCCCTGTGGAAATTATACGTTTTCTCATGTTCTTAATCTCATTTGGTCAACTTTATCTGATTAGCACTTAGTCCCACTTCGATACAGTAAAGGAGTATACTAATAGCTAATGCTTTTAAATGGAAAGATACAATTGCTATTATAGATCTTTAATATACAGAACAATATGTTTAACTGTTATCTTTTTCCAGATTATATATTCCATCAAAGTATTTGTATCTCAGGAGAATTGCCTGCACACCATCCAGCCACTAAGTTTCAATATCTTCTTCAGAACTGTTCAGGTTCTTCAAAGTTTTCCTGATAATTTAAGCTGGACCTGGACGGGGCCTATAGACATTTTAAAAAAGATACAAGAATTGCAGATTTAGAAATGAGAGGGGACCATAAATCAGCAGCAAATCCACTTTGAAAACACTGACATTAATAAAAAGTATTATATGAAAGCCTACACCAGTATATTGTTCTAAAGTCATTTATCTATTTATACATTTGTTCATTTATTATATATTTTAATGTATTCAGCTACCCCACCCCCAAAAGCAGCATTTGTTAGGAATATTTTTTTATATACAAGAAAGTGACCATTAAGATGAGAAATAATGCTTCTGACAGACTGAAAAAAGTCTGTCAGAAGTATCCACCCAAGAGTTCTTAAATAACCAACGTGAGAAATTGCTGACCTCCTACCAAAAAGTATATAACTTTTCCCTCAGATTAAGCTCAGTGGCAGAGGAAAGTAGCCAATATAATGCAATTTTTTAAAAGGGACCAAGGTGAGATGAAAGAAATCACAGGTGGATTAATGTTACCTCTGGGTTAGGGGCCACATACCTCCAAATACCAGTTGTGGGGAAACAATGATGAGACGGGTGTATCTCCATCTCCTGTTTGCAAGTACCTCGGAGGTCATTGTGAGAAACAAAATGCTGAACTAAAGTGGGTCTTAGCCTAAACTGGTAGGACTATTCTTGACTTTTAAACACTGAATATATTATTATTGAATGTTTTAGTCAGATTTTTATGAATTGGAAGTTGATCTTCTGTTTTGTCTTCCTGATGCAGGTTTGCACTTTCCAAGAAACGTTATAGCTTCACCAACTAAGAATGAAACATACGGAAAGAACTTTGGCCTTAAGAAGGTTGTTGGGAATG